ATTTACTGTGAAATTACTCATATATACATATATTAGGCGAGTCGAGTGGCCGAGCGGCAAGGCATGGGCGCCGCTAGCTACAGCTGGTTCCAGCCGCTTCTCGCCCATTGTTCGGTTGGTAGAATCAAGTCTTCTCGGAAAATGGAGGTCCAGTGTATACATTTGGCTCGTGTGCACTTAAAAGAACCCATTGCATCTTTTGGAAGAGTATGGGTTTACCCCGATGTTACGGTTCAGCCTCTGTTGTTGTGGAATGATGTGAACATGTATCTACCAAGCGCCTCTTCTTTACGGCTGCTATGTAGTCACGTTCGGTTCAACAAATGTGAAACATACACAATCTACTCAACTCTCTGTTAAATGAGTACGCGTAAAATTAAATTCACTACACACTTCATTCAATCTATTCATATTGTACCATGGAGGTATTATTGTTTTACCAAGCAACATACTTCTCTTGGTGAAAAGAAACAGATGATAAATAACTTTCCCATATTTTTGTAGTGTTCTGCACCATGCGACGGAGGAATTCAAACTCGACGAATCATTTGCGTGGGAAGAGATGATGTCTACGCGTACCAGTCGAAGGAGGAGGATTGTACTAATAGAGGTTTTGAGCCGCCAATATCAGCACAAGCATGTAACATGCAGCCGTGTGATCCAACCCCGACGACGACAATTACAACAGCAGCACCAACTCCTCCATCTGAAAGTGTAGTCAGATATCTCAACGGATCGTTTTCAGTAGTAAGTTCAACGCAAAAATAATTCAGATTTCAGATTTCTTTTATTTTCTACAAATAACATGAACATATAAAATATATGTGGAGGAGGCTATAATAAAATCGTGTGCTGCACGGAGCACAGATCTTTAGGTTAATAGCCCCCTTAACAAAAAGCAAAATAATAATACGCCTAATAATAATAATAATAATAATAATAATAATAATAATAATAATAATAATAATAATAATAATAATAATAATTTGCAGTATTTAAAAAAGTCAAATAATAAAAATTATGTAAATTTAGTTCTCAAAAAGAAAGTTATTCAGTATAGCTAACTGATTCAACAATTAGATAATATACAATTAGAAAACAGTGAAATAATTAGAAAATAAATACCTGGTATTACGCACCATATGACGAGATCAGAGACATTTTAAAGAAGAATTTAAAGCTGGTGATGGATGGTTTTTTAATAAGTTCAGGGGCTACATTGAAAATTGAAAACCGTCTAAGTTGTGAATTGCACGGTAATGTTGAAGAAATGTTGTTCGTAGAAAATATTGTGGGATAATTGTGAACAGAGGAAACTGATGTAAATAAATCATTTAATTGAGAAGTTTATTTAAATAATCTAAACATAAATATAGCTATTTGAAGTTTATTGAGGTCATAAATATGAAGAACTTTAAAATTATAGAATAAAAGTTTAGTATTGGACCTATATGATGCATGTGCACAAATACGCAAAGCACGTTTTTGAAGGAGAAAGAGCTTGTCATATTTTGGACTTTCCATATAGGACATGATTCGAATTTGTTTGTATTTTCTGCCCATGCAAAATTACAGTAAGAAAGGTACAGTAAAATAAGAATGTTATATAAAATTAATAGAATATTGGACGGCAGATAAAGCTTTAATTTGTTTATCATTCCTAAATTTCGAGGAATTATAATAGCTACATGATTAATATGGGGCTTCAAATTCAAATTAGAGTCTATTGTAATGCCTAAAAATTTAGTTTCTGTAAGACGAGTAATTTTATAATTAAATAAGGTAAAGGAAGAGTTTGGGTCATCATTATTTTATTGATCAGACCAATTTGTATTAGACAACTCATTTTTAAAAGTGGAAATTGTTTATTATTAATTTTAGTTATAAATATCATGTTCAGGCTGTTGGTTAATCTAACATTGTATTTTCAATCTAATTACTAATCTTATATGTATTTGGTCGCTTCAGAACACATTTTATAAACAAGATTATGACATAGGGTTTTTCATCAACTATTGTCTTACAGTGTTCTGCATCGTGTGGTTACGCTACCAAGTCACGTCGTGTACTATGTGTTCACACACTCAATGGTGTTCATACGCACGTAGATGACAGTCTTTGTCCAGGAACTAAACCTGAGGAAATCGTCGTATGTGAAGGTCTTCCACCCTGTTCCATCCTGACAACAACTGCTGAGTCTGATGCCATGACAACAGTTGCACGGACAACTGTGACGGCTCCCATACAGACTACAATGATACAAATCACGACGACCATTGCTCCATCTACTACCTTAGTATATGAGCAGACAACTGTGTACATCAACGATGAAACAACCACAGAATACTTTGCTGATCCTTCAATTGAAAGGTATTTTGTGTAGATAATGCTTAACTTCAGTTTAGTTGTTTAATTTAGAATAACTAATGACTAAAACAGACAAAGATATATATTATGTATACAAGCCAAAATAATTCTTTGTGTTGCTCAAGTTCTGTCGAGCAAAAGATCTTGAAAATTTAAGGTTGGCAAAAACTATATTTAAAATCACTGTTTCAAAAAGACTACATTTCTAGTTCTGGCTTTAAATAAACGATTGATACTTTTGGTATTGGCTATCATTTTACCAAAATATATAGGAATAGCAAAAGTAAAAAACAAAAAATGCCGACCGACCGACCTTAACTTCCATTTTTCAGTGTTTAGAGACACCTCAATACTTTGTAGGAATTTTAGAATTTTTTAGAAAAAAAATATTTACGTCGTAACTCCATGATTTCTTTGAAGAGAAATGTATTTGTCATGCCATGAAGCTCTCCAATGATCATACCAAGCAAAAATCTGAAGTCAATATTAAAAGCATACATTTTTATTTAAATAGTTTTGCCTTAATCAATTGCACGCTTGTTGAACTTATTTGTTGCAATTAAGTATGAATATCTTAGAATAAGTTCATCTGGATCCATAAATAAGAAAAGTCTATGATAATTAAGTATGAGTATTTATCACAACAATTTCGTGTATTAGTAGTACAGGGGCACGTGTCTAAAAAAAGGCTCATGTTCGCCATTCATGTTATTTTATGGAATCAACGCTTTTCCGACTCAAAATGTATACTGAACAAGATAAACATTGGTGTCATCTTTTTTTTTTCGAACATGTTGACTAGCCACCATCTTGGAATACAAGATTGTGACCTGCCTGGTCAAACATAAGAGTATTATATAGCTCTTATTGAAGATTTTACCTTATTATGATTGGTTCTAATTTTCGACTCCCAATACTGTATTACTTCTTAAATTTGTTTCATCCTCCTATACGTTTATATCATTGTGTATGTTTGTTTAACTATAAAATGTTTTAATATGGCACAACAGTTTTGCATTTCTTTAACTGCGATGACACACTTTTCAATATTTATCATATTCTCCAATCGTTTGTAGTGTCTTTGTCTGTCCGTCTGCGTTTGGTTTTGTGTGGACCATTTTCAATTACAAAATATTATTTTTTCCCTTTTCGGTTCTATATATAACGGTGGTCTGCGTTGGTGCGAGTTGGATTTGAATCGGGAGAGACTGATAATGACATACGTAAACATGGCTTAGTCCGGTTCACTAACCATAATAGCAGTGCCATAGACTGTTTAAAATTGATGTACAAATGCGTCAACAATTGTTTAATGAGATTATTAAAATTAGTACAATACTCAACATAATTTTATAGAATAAGCTGTGTTGTTTGGTGAGATCCACCTAACCTTATTAGTTGGCTTATTTTAAGGTGATTAAATCATAATATAGTTAATGCATAATTTCCTAAGCCCATTACCGTCCTTCAGCATTTGTTTGTCGCCACTATCAAATTATAAAAGTGTAATTTTTTTTATAACCTTTAGGCCTACATTTGTCGTCGGTCAGTATGGAGAATGCGACTGTTCAAGTAGAGAAAAGACGCGCTACGTCCTCTGTGTGGACTACCGCAGCAACATGGTTGTTATGATCGCCGAAAAGCACTGTTACGCAGCTAAACAAGTTCGACCAGATAATACCACGGCCTGCAACGCTAATGAATGTCCTGGCACTGTCGCACCTGTAGTACCTGAGTGGTCTACAACTGGATTTGAAGAAGTTAGTTTAACTCAATTTCATTAAGTCCATACTTGCCTACAAAACTTAACATCTGATTCTATTCTCTAATAACAATAATATTATTTGAGAGAGCAGCTTTGGCTCAAACCACTAAATTGGTGGTAGACATTGTGAGTAGTTACCGGTTCAATTCCCATATATCGGTGCTCTCCTTGTATTCCAGCTGGTGGGCTAAAGTGCAAGTTGCGATAGTGCACCGTCTTTCGCATGAGACGTTTAAGCCGTTGGTACTGTGTGCATCATGGCATATATGCACATTAAGAACGCAGTCATTCTTCGGAAAGAGAAGAGGATTGTCTTTCGGTGTACTGCCCAATCACCACCAGAATGACTCCACTAGAAATAAATATTCTTTAGACTTTTGAGGGTTATCCTTGGTGATTGCACTGAATAAATCCATCCATTATTATGAAACTACCTCACTATGTGCAATTCTATCTCATGTAATGCTAGTGTTCAAGAACATGCGGTGGTGGTGTTCGAAGGCGGCAGGTTGTTTGCGTGGACTCATCAACTAACGAACCGCTATCTGATGATCTCTGTGATGCAGACCAACGCCCCCAAGAAACCGAGGATTGTGCCATCAATAATTGCGAAGATGACAGGTAAGTTATCTAATTTTAATAGGCGACCTAGACATGAATTTAAGATATATATGTGTACAATTGTTATCATATATCTTCCCCCACCTTCTAAAAAATCAAACTAATCTCTGCCATATTTTTTTGAGGAATTTTCCACATTCCTTGAATCGTTAGTTATGTCTTCATCTAAACTTATGATAATTGGTTACTTTAATTTCCACGTAGAGTTACTAAATAATGTTAAGGCGAAACAATTCTCTCAAATAACTAAATCATTTGGTTTATTCCAGCATGTCGCTGGTCCAACACATATCAAGGGTCATATACTTGACCTTATTCTCACTCATCTTGATGATTACATTGTGCTTAATATTTCATTGCGTCATGGTCTTCCTTCAGACCACCATGCTGTTATAGCATATTTAAACATTAGTTCACCTCCTTACACGGTAATCACTACAAAAAGAAGAAACATTAATAGCATTGATGTCAACAATATCTTTAATGATACTAGGTCATTTTAACAAATTGTGACACTGATGACGTAGAAAAATTACAATAACGTTCTCACAGAGATTATAAACTGTCTCTTATACACATCTTATATAGTATAGTATACTATATAGTTTTTTTGGTTTTTTTTTTTGTTAATACAGTGTTCTCAGAGGCTCATTCTGGTCCACTGGCAAATGGAGCGATTGCAGCGTCACGTGCGGTCTAGGCCACCAGAGAAGACCAATTGTCTGCTACTATTTTGAGGGCGTAGCAACGACTGAAATTAGTACCGAATGTGATATTGACATCATACCATCTGATACTCGTGAATGTGATATGGGCCGTTGCCATGGATACTGGGTTTCTACAGAATGGTCAGAGGTGAGGCATCCATTCAATAATACTAATATCTATAATGAAAGTTTTCATAAAATTCAAAATAGACTACATTAATCAATTTGATACTAGGTAGTTTTCGCCGCACGACGTTAACCTTAACGTTAACGGATGACGTCATAATGTATTCATCTTGCGTTGTGCTTACGTTAATTTCAGGATTTTAGCTGCTCGACGTACGTTAGTTACGGGCTTGCGCATGTGTATTTCGATTTGTTTACAAAACAGGCGGAGCTATCGGGTTCCATGTTGGGTAGTAACGTTAAAGTTAAGCTTAACTTCTTGCGGCGAAAACTACCTATAATGTTAAACATACGTAATTAAAGTATAAAATAAAGAGGGCCCTAGAATTCACGCCTACCAGCTAATGCATCCTCGATGTATGGTTAATAAATCACAAGGTAACAACTCTGAGTAAAAATTTGTATTTATATTCATTTGTTTTATAATACTTCATCACCCTCAACTCGATACTATTCCAGTGCTCTGCTTCGTGTGGATTCGGTATACAATCAAGAACTGTAGATTGCAGGTGGCAGAAATCGGACTTACAAACTATTGATGAAAGCCAGTGTGAGGGCAGCAAACCGGACAGCCAAATTGGTTGTAAAGTTGACGATTGTCCTCTTGCTTATGGTAGGATTATGATCTTACTGATCATACTTCTTTCATCTGAATGCAATAAATTCAACACTAACATAAATAGCTTAAATAAATAAATAAAATAATTAATTAATAATAGTGTCAAGTTTTACAAAAATATTATTTCAAAGTGTAATTTCCTTTTATATTTCCAGCTTGCAACAATATGTTGAAAGGCTCAGGTGGAAACATTTCATCTCCACTATATCCAAATAATTACCCAAATGACGTCACTTGTAAGAATATTTTAGTGACTGACAGCACATCAAGTAATAATTCGTATATAGAAATCAACTTCCAGGAACTAGAAATCGAAGAAGAAACAGATTGTAACTTCGATTATATTGAGGTTTGTTCTCTCTTTCTAATTATTTAAAGGCAAACAACAAATGCGGGCTGAGTCAGTTACAAGAGCATTACTATAAGAGCGGTTGAAATATCCATTAATAATCCTATATCATTCTTGTATTTGTACGGTCCACATAACGTGAATCACTCGTGAATTTTATGTAAAATACATCTTTAGTCTAGTGCAACCATACACACACGCATTCCATGAATAAGTTAAGACCATAATATGGTCATAATATTATATATATATATATATATATATATATATATATATATATATGTATGTATGTATATATATAATATATAATGATTTAGTTTATCTTAGGAATTAGCTTCAAACCGAAACCTATGGATTAATTTACACTAGATAGGTTTCTTTAATGTAGTATATACATGTATACATGTACATGCAGGAATTATAGAGAATGTACTTTTTCTAAAACATTAAATGTGCTTCTTTTAACATACATGCATGCATAAATAACAAATTATGAACATTCTGTTAATAAACACGTGTATTTTTCACTAAGGTTTATGATGTAACGACTGGAGTAACGGACAAGATTTGCACGGCTGCAGAAATGCCGAAGAAATGGACTTCTCAAGGAAATATGGTTGAAGTGACATTTGTCAGCGATGCTAGTATCAATAAAAAGGGTTACTCAGCGTCATGGAAAATGATAGAAAATTAGCAGGCAATTCAGACGTCTAGACTGTTTGTGGCACCCGATTTTACCTAATAGATCTGATAAATATCAGTTTCGGCGACATCACCATTCATGATGCCGTCACCTCACCAAACCTGATTAGAGGATTCTGATCAGATGATTGATGACTGGTGCTGTCACCAGTAGAGAAGTGTATCAGCATTTATTTGTCACCGAAACTGATCACTTAGGTAGAATTGGCTGTTTGTGTTTGCTGAATATCTTGTCATTATCTCAAGAATGTTCAAATCTGTTTTAAGCAGTGTATCTATAATATGTAATTTTTTTTTAAATGGTTATTGTTTTTGCTATTGTAAATATGTGTATTTATTAAGTAATTTAAGTTCATATTTTGTTTTTTTATTTCGTATTTTCTGTTCTGGAATATATTGCATCATATAACGAATAATTAGAAGACCTAGATTTTACTGAAAGTTTTGATTTGCCACACACACACACACACACTAGAATAGGCCTCCAAAATACCATTTACAAATGTTTATTAAAATCTTATTTTGATTTCTTATCCGCCACACAGTATTAAAACATGCAATTTTTAAAGTACTTATGCATTAATATGTTCGTGGAAGTTCTAAAATGTAGCTGTAAATCTCCTTGGTTTAATAAAAAGCGGCTTGCAAATGCAATACAAACATTATCTGTACATGTTACAATCATTAATATGGGTATTTAATTTAATTTATAGATATAAAGAGAATGTATTAATAAGTAGGCCTAATATTTTCTAAGACTGTGAATTATGTGATATTATGAACCATTTATACTATAATAAATATCAACAACGGTGTAGTATTGATTTTATTTTATTAGAAAAATGTTATGAACTATGTTATTTTTTATCTGGAAATGGTGGCTGTGGAAGAGAATAAGGAATGTTTGGCTGTGAGCAAGAAAAAATATCTATCAAATAGTTGGTGATGTAAGTGAAGACAGAGTTGTTGTAGAGCGGAAGAACTCTAAATACCTTTAAAAAACGATGCAATTAAGAAAAAGGGAAAATGGGAAAATGCCCAGGTTTTTCCGAGACCCATGATGGGCGATCTTTTATTTTGGGTTTCAAATGTCCTCTATGTTTTTTTTTTTACCTAGGCCTACGTTTTGTTATATATTGTTGCTGTGCGTACCAAAAAATAAATACAAAATACGGAAAATAAAGCACATATTTTTGTAACATCCAGGTTTTATACAACAAATAAACGCCAGATCGTCTCTGAATGCCTAGTACATGGGTATGTATGGCTATTGTATCTATACATAATCCATACTAATGGATTTTTATCAACTGATCAACTGAAATTATTAAAAGGCCTATTAAACCCCGTTTAAATTGCATATTGTTAGGGAAGTCAAAATAAAAAATATTTAAACCATTTAAAAAATCTATATAAAAAAAAAAACAATCATTAATTTGGATCGACAAAATTTGTGTCAATAACAATGGCAGATTTCAAGATAACAATATTAATAGTAATTAGACTTATTCTGTCTGTTAAACAAAACAAGGCTTTTCTCATTAACATAATGTGAACTGATGCTGAATTTAAAAAAGTTTTTTTTATATATAAATATTAATGGAGTAAACCTAATAACAATAACAATGAGTATAATATGATAATGATAATTATAATAAAAATAACAACAACAACAGCAGCAACAACAACAACAACAACAACAACAACAACAATAATAATAATAATAATAATAATAATAATAATAATAATAATAATAATAATAATAATAATAATAATAATAATAAATCACTTGACAACATAAGGATTCAAACCAAAGACTGCAGTGGTTTCGATTAGGGTAATGTGGATAGTTCTACAGAACGCGGCCCTGTGGAAGTCAGTGCATTATTAGTTCGCCTAGTTTGCGTAATTTCACCGGTCGAAGCCGAAAACTGTTTGTGCATTTACATGTAATTTTGCATTTAACTTAGTTGTAGCTAGTTTGGGACCCTTTAGAACAAGCAAAAAGTTTAATTACCTCTTATAAATATTTAAAATAACAGAAAGACGTTATATTTTAATATGCACATCTTGGACATATATATGGTCTTTTCTTTGGCAAAGTTTAAAGAAGATCCAAGCACGGAAAGTGACCAAAGTGCCGGGCAGAAACATTTTGTGCACAAGCATTGGAAAACAGGATAGAAAAACGTATTACCTTCTTTAGAATACCGAAATTTATTGATACACAAGTTTTCGCTAGCTTGAGCTACCTTGTCAGGTGAATAAAGTGAAAAACACAGAATCAAATTGATCAATCAAATTATGCAAATGAGCAATATAACAAAATATAAACAGAATGTCTGGCTGGAATTAAGGATAGAATAAGAAGTTACAAAGGCAATGGCTTTTCAGCTAAAGCGGTAAAAGCCAGCAACAATAATGATAGGCCTAATAACAATTAGCTTCAAAATATAAGAAAGGTGGAATAGTTATGATAAAACAAACACACTTACATACTCAGAATTGGTGTCAACTTCAAACTGATAAACTTAAAGAACACCTTAAAAAGAAGACTATAATTAAGAAGGGCTTTTAATAAGTGCACCATAATTATGTAGCAGTTTATCAGAATGTATGGCGATCTGACGAAACCATGTGTATAAACAGATGATAAGCAGATCACCCAAGTAGAGCTGAAGAATCATAGGTAAAGGGTATACAGACAGCCTGACATGATATGCCCGTCCACAGACCCGGAGACCCAATTACTGACCATGTGATTTAACTTAATCATACATGATAGTATAATAGTACATACTTCAAGTATCGTCGTGTCGTCAGGATTCAATATTTCGACATTAATTATGTCATCATCAGGAATCATACATGTGCAGTAATTAAGAAAATAAAATGGATTACAGAAGAAAATCATAACAAAAGTTTTGTCTATAACGAAATAAAGGAAGACTATGAACAAAATCTACTGGACATTTTCAAGTAAAATGACCTGTCCTTCAACATTAAACTGTGAACAATTTTATCTATGTTTTCTCAACAGAGGGCGCATTATGTGCTTATGGATTTTTAGTGCTTCTCTGCCCTAGACATCAGGTACTAACTGGCAAAAAAAATATATATTGTATGACGTCGCACTAATTTGTATCGGAAACGGTTATAAGAAGGCAAACAGTAGAATTAGCGCTCATTAAAAAAGTAATTAGGCCCTTATTATATGGCTGGTAAATGTAGGACATTTTACATTTTTAACAACAATTTTCTACACAAATTGTATGCTATTTTCTGCTCAACTGATATCTAAAATTTTTTTTTATTTTGCAATACATAGTTAATCGTCAGTTTTAAGGTTAGTAAATTACATGCAGACAATCCGTTTAATTAGTTGTAGGCTTTCGGAAGAAAGTGACAAGAGAGTAGACAGACACAATGGTGGGTTTTCATTTCAGGTAATCTTCTATTGTTTGGAGAGACAATACTCTAGCTACCAATGACTACACTACAGCTACAAAGGTTTTGGTGGTTATTTAGTTGGAAACAATTGAACTACCCCCTTCTAATTATAATAAGTTGAAACATCATACGCTGATTGAAATATAATACCTGGATGGAAGACACACACACACACACACACACATTTACACGACAGAAAACATATATCTCCTGGCGGAAATAATAATATTAATAATAATATTATGCAAATTCCCTACAGCTCCCTCACATATATACTGCTCCTTTTACTAGAACATTACAGAATTCCTGAAGTAGTTGATATCCCTCCCCTTATACTAATCAAAAATTCTAGAGGTTGTTGATAACCTCTTACCATATCTGCTACAATACTCTTGGACATTCCAGAGGTTGTCATAGCCTCTTGTACATTCTAGAGGTTGTTCATGACATATCTCCACAAATACGCTACGCAAATTCCGTAAGTTGTTGGCATATCAATAGGACATTCTGGAAGTTGTTGACACCCCTCCCCATATCTGCTACTTATCATGTATCAATAGGACTTTCTGGAAATTATTGACACTCCTCCCCATATCTGCTCTTATCACGTATCAATAGGACATTCTGGAAATTGTTGACACCCCCTCCACATTTCTGCTATTCAACACAGGGGTCCCAAGTCCCCCGGAACTCCTGGGAGCTGTCTCTTATACACATCTAGATGTGTATAAGAGACAGCTATTGAACACTGTATTTATTTTCGAAAGAAATTTTCGACCAGTCCTCTGGCCTCCATCAGCTTTACTGAATGCACAAGATTGACTGTTGCAGTTGTATACTGTACAATATAAACAATACAATAGTGATGTAGATGGATTACAGGCCAATTATCTAATCTTTTATGCTGTAATATACAAAGTGAAATCTGACAGAGATCAAAGTGGTCAAGTATTGAGATAGTTTTGTTGAAGATTAAACAATTCTTAACTAAGTGTACATAGTAGAATAATATGGTGAGAAGCAAAACTTGATGATGCAATCACCTACTAAAATACACAAAACATACATTACATCATAAAATGTTAAAATATAAATATGTCATCATTTTACTGAAATTTATTGAGACACAAGCTTTCGCTAGCTTGAGCTACCTTGTCAGGTGAATGAAGTGAAAAACACAGAATCAAATTGATCAATCAAATTATGCAAATAGCAATATAACAAAAAATATATACAAAATGTCTGGCTGGAATTAAGGATAGAATAAGAAGTTACAAAGGCAATGGCTTTTCAGCTAAAGCGGTAAAAGCCAGCAACAATAATGATAGGCCTAATAACAATTAGCTTCAAAATATAAGAAAGGTGGAATAGTTATGATAAAACAAACACACTTACATACTCAGAATTGGTGTCAACTTCAAACTGATAAACTTAAAGAACACCTTAAAAAGAAGACTACAATTAAGAAGGGCATTTAATAAGTGCACCATAATTATGTAGCAGTTTATCAGAATTTATGGCGATCTGACGAAACCATGTGTATAAACAGATGATAAGCAGATCACCCAAGTAGAGCTGAAGAATCATAGGTAAAGGATAGACAGGATGCCTGACATGATATGCCCGTCCACAGACCCGGAGACCCAATTACTGACCATGTGATTTAACTTAATCATACATGATAGTATAATAGTACATACTTCAAGTATCGTCGTGTCGTCACGATTCAATATTTCGACATTAAACACGTCATCATCAGGAATCATACATGTGCAGTAATTAAGAAAATAAAATGGATTACAGAAGAAAATCATAACAAAAGTTTTGTCTATAAGGAAATAAAGGAAGACTATGAACAAAATCTACTGGACATTTTCAAGTAAAATGACCTGTCCTTCAACATTAAACTGTGAACAATTTTATCTATGTTTTCTCAACAGAGGGCGCATTATGTGCTTATGGATTTTTAGTGCTTCTCTGCCCTAGACATCAGGTACTAACTGGCAAAAAAAATATATATTGTATGACGTCGCACTAATTTGTATCGGAAACGGTTATAAGAAGGCAAACAGTAGAATTAGCGCTCATTAAAAAAGTAATTAGGCCCTTATTATATGGCTGGTAAATGTAGGACATTTTACATTTTTAACAACAATTTTCTACACAAATTGTATGCTATTTTCTGCTCAACTGATATCTAAAATTTTTTTTTATTTTGCAATACATAGTTAATCGTCAGTTTTAAGGTTAGTAAATTACATGCAGACAATCCGTTTAATTAGTTGTAGGCTTTCGGAAGAAAGTGACAAGAGAGTAGACAGATACAATGGTCGTCTCGTAGTTGTAGGCTTTCGGAAGAAAGTGACAAGAGAGTAGACAGATACAATGGTGGGTTTTCATTTACTGGCAATCTTCTATTGTTTGGAGAGACAATACTCTAGCTACCAATGACTACAAAGGTTTTGAACAATTGAACTAACCCCTTCTAATTGTAATAAGTTGAAACATCATATGCTGATTGAAATATAATGTCTGGATGGAAGTCACACACACACACACATTGAATGATATGCAAAATACATCCTTAGTCTATTAGAATCATATAAGCATACTACACATGCCATGAGTAGAATAAGTAAAGACCCTATAATTATAATAATAATAATAATAATATATATATATATACATATAAATATATAGATATATATATTTACACACACATATATATATCTATATATATATATATATACATAAATATATATATACATATATATATAAGTTTAAAAGGCAAAGGCTGTTTTATGGGTTTTTCCAATTTGCCTTTTAAACTTATATACTATATATATATATATATATATATATATATATATATATATATATATATATAGCTTCTTGAAAATGTCGCATTTTATATATTTTCTTGCTCATTTGCATTATTCCTTCAGACTCTGATTACAATCCTAGTCCTTAGGCCTATGTAGGATAGTCGCAATCTCGAAAACATTGTTCAATTATAATTATATCGTAGATTAGTTAATAATAAAAATTATATATACCTAAAGTTCCAATAATTTCATGAATTACCACACATCAATGTTGCCGATAAGATAAATGAATTTATCAAGTATTATTCAGACTCTTTGATATAACCACCGATTAAAATACGTGGCCTACGTTGTTATTTTTTTCTATTATTTTAACTTATATTGTAGGCCTATACTGAAATATTCAAGATTCAATATAAATATATTTTTCATGACAGTTTAAGAATAAATAAGGTGAAATTTACAGAAACATTTAAAAAAGGGGAAACTATAATGGATGAATATGATGAGAATTACGAAAATTAAAATTTCGTTTGATATAAACATACTTTCACACACAAGAAAATTGATCACTTACAGCAGTAATTATATTGTTATATTACTTGTTGAGGATGTCACTATTTTGATCTATATTATGTTGTATGTCCTTGTTTAATAATTTCATTGTATAATGTAAGCTACAGTAGAGCGAAACATAGGTCTAAGATTAACTCTATTTTTTTTATATTACATAAGTGTTTCTCTAAGCAATAATAACTCTTTGATAAAAGACACGTATGAACGACACACCGATTTAATATAACAAATTAATTTATGGGTTTTGCGGTCAGACAAAAAAAATAGTAAGACTAGTAGAACACTTCGGTTGTAATAGGCCTATTTGATGTACTCAGCAATGCTATCAGTATTAATCTCGTTTTTTAGTCAAACCATAGAGAAAATCTATTTTCTCTATGGTCAAACGGAAGTCCTTTCTATGAATCGACACAAATATAAACCAAACAAAAAGCGAGATGTTCAAAAGAGAACCGGACCGAACAAATGCATCTATATTGATATTATACTAATGTGTTAAATATATATGATATCATGATATGATCAGGTCACCTAGGTACTTTTAAGACATTCCTTCACTCTTAAGCTAACAACAGTCATAAACACCATTTTCCATCCATCTTAACAGCATAATACAACAGACGAACTTTTTAATTCCATGGTATTGTAAGTTTCTATAAGTGTGATCCTGTAGGCCTAAGCCGCTGATGGGCTTTTTATGCTGTCGATTACGTAACATAGTTTTCGCATCTTTATTTGAAAGTGCTACTGATCTCTTAGTCATACCCTTGATTTAGGACACTGAATAGTTAAAATACATTCCTCACTGTACTCTCACTCATCAACGGAAGGACCACTACCTACGCTCATCACGTAAGGAGTAAATCGATCCATTCAAGCAGGTAACATTTTATACATAATTCAGTTTGTTTTTAAAATAATTGACGTTACATTAATTAAACAAATGTTTTAACCGATTAAATGCCTCACATGTTTGTACTAAACGATAGCGATATAACAATTTTAAATATATATACGAATGGAATATATCATTTTATATTGTAATATATATACATATATTATATACATTTATATATTATATATATATATATATTATATAGCTAAATACACATCCACCTGATGAGTGTAATTAGCTTTGTTGACTGTACAAAACAAAATTGTAGTGGTATAAAAGTTTGAAGTTCACAGTTTACATTTCTTCTGTTAATTATTTAGCTCTAATTAGGTATTGACATAGAGCTCTATATGGTATTGAGCACTCTCCTCCGGATAATCCTGAATCTTATACTTATAAACTATATTATATATGCATGTATATATATATATATATATATATATATATATATGTATGTATATACCAAAATTCTCAAGGCCCTTACGGACCTGTAAGCTTTCTTCTACATTCACATAACATATTTTAGTCGATAGGCAGTTAATTTACACACATTTACCTACGCTCATCACGTAAGGAGAAAATCGATCCATTCAAGCAGGTAACATTATACATAATTAACTTTGTTTTAAAAATAATTGACGTTACATTAATTAAACAAACGTTTTAACCGATTAAATGCCTTTTATGTTTGTACTAAACGATAGCGATACAACAATTTTAAATATATATACGAATGGAATATATCATTTTATATTGTAATATATATATATACATATATTATATACATTTATATATTATATATATATATATATTATATAGCTAAATACACATCCACCTGATGAGTGTAATTAGCTTTGTTGACTGTACAAAACAAAATTGTAGTGGTATAAAAGTTTTAAGTTCACAGTTTACATTTCTTCTGTTAATTATTTAGCTCTAATTAGGTATTGACATAGAGCTTT